TAAAACCAGAACAAGCTCTTTTTTTTTTTTTTTTGAGAGGTTTTCACTATAGGGTGCGTGAGCTCACCAGACAGACAGAAAGAGACAGAGAGACAGAAAGCGAGAAATCACCCCCCAGGGGGTATCGCCACGCTGCAATCCCTTCTCCTCCGTTATCCCCTCGGGATCTTGGGCACACACGCACATGCGCCTGGTGTGAGTTTAAGCCACCAGGTCTAGGACTCAAACCACGGTCGACTACATGGGAGTCCAGCAACACAGCCATTACGCCAACTGCTGGTCCCAACCAGAACAAGGTTTTAGAAACATTATCCTGCATGTTTTCACCATTTCTACTTCCTCCCGTTACAATCACCTTTGAGGTATATTCCCATTTATTCAACTAGCAGATTGGAACTTTTCTTGTGAGCAGTTCATAGACAATCTCAAACTCGGTATATCAAAAGTTATTTCATTACTCTGCCACTTACCCAAATCTGTTGTTCTCAAGGCTATATCTTAGACTTAAGGTGAAAATCTAGATTTTTTTTTTTCTTTTAAGTTTGCTGTAGGGCCCATGTGCTTGCTGGAGGGCGAGAGGGGAAGTGAGCAAGCATACCCCTGAGAGGGTGGACATGGGGTCATCTTTTCTCCTTTACTCTCTCAGAATTCTGGGCGTGCACACATATGTGCCCAACGTGTTTCTCAAGCCACTGATTCCAAGACTCAAACGGTGCAGCTGGCAGCGTGGGTTCCAGCCACCTTAACCACTACGCCACAAGGTCCCGAGAAGTAAACTTACATGTCACTGTAGGCATAAACATACTTATATAATAGGAATTTGAGTAAGTCTCTCTGTTTCCAGTACCAATGCTTGAAGGTTCAGGCCTTCATTACTTCTAGCCAGCCTCAGCTTTTGTAATGGACTCCTATCTGGTCGCCTCATCACCAGCCTCTTCTTGTTCTCGAGTAATCTTCCTCTGATGCACGGTGACCAAAATTGTCCTGCCTTAGCTTCAGTGTGGCCCCTTCATCACCTATAGCAAGGCTCTTCTCTCAATCCAGGCTACTATCACAAGGGTCTTAACACACACACACACACACACACACACAGATTAGAGCTCTACTCTAATAAGTAAGAATTTCCAAAATGAGACTTAAAAATTTCTATTTTTAAAAGCTGTCCAGCTAGTGTTGATAATCAGCCTGGTTTGGAAACCACCAGTCCTCAGGGGAAAACCCCAGATTCTGCCTGTGATCTGACACTAGTACTCTCAGCTTCATCCCCAGCACACATCATGCGCCGGCAATACTGGCCGAGGACTAGTGATTCTCTAAACCCATGCTATAATAACCGGCCTAATATATTTTTTTATTTATATTATCATCATAATCTTCTTTATATTACATTGGATTACATATAACTTTACATTGACTTCCATTGCTTTTTCAAAAGGGAATGCCATGCATGTCAGTCAATACAGAGACATCAATCTCCCCACTTTATCATTCAATGTCTTTTCCATGCATTTCCCAATAATTATTATTATTATAATTTTTTAAAACAGTCAATCACTATTTCTCATTTTGCTTGTTAAAAGACTTCACCCATCATGAAATACTTCCCAGACCAGTCCAGTTGAGAATACTATACACGTCATCTTCAACAGATAATAAACCATATCTGTTTCTCACTAACATCCCCTCTATTGTTCACTTGCTATCTTTCTCTATCCTCTTCTCTTTTTTTTTTTATAGTTTATTTTTTATTATAATTTTTTTTCCCATCACAACACACAAATGAATTTTCCATCCAAAATACACTGTGCATTGGCTCAATCAAGCACGTCAACATATATGTTCTCAGCAAATAATTTCCCAATTCTTGTGTCCTGCATACCTTGCCTTT